TCCCTCTGTCCTCCATCATCCTGCCCTCCTGTCCTCCTGTCCTCCTGTCCTCCAGACCTTTGGACCTCCTATCCCTCCATCCTGTTTCCTGTAGAAGTATTACCTTGCAGTGGGAACTCTCCTGAGCACTTCCTGCATTCCTCCAGAACTCTCCCACGCTCCTCCGGACATTTCCCGCGCTCCTCCAGAAGTCCTCTAGCACTCTCCAGCAGAGTAGCCAGCCTCCAGAAGTCCTCTGGACTTTGTTGGACCATCATTGGACCTCATCTGAAATGAAGGGCACATACTCGGGTAAGGGGCACAGCATACGAGCTGAGGCCAAGCCCCTCTGAGTCAGTCTCTCTCTCCTTTGAGCATGGTTCTTAACAGCTGGCTACTCTGCTGGAGAGCACTAGAGGACTTCCAGAGGAGCATGGGAGAGTTCTGGAGGAACACAGGAAGTGCTCAGGAGAGTTCCCACTGCAAGGTAATACTTCTACAGGAAACAGGATGGAAGGATAGGAGGTCCAGAGGACAGGAGGACAGGATGATGGAGAGGACAGATCAGAGGTAGACAGGATGTCCAGAGGTACGAAGGACAGGATGTCCAGAGGTACGAAGGACAGGATGTCCAGAGGTACGAAGGACAGGATGTCCAGAGGTACGAAGGACAGGATGTCCAGAGGTACGAAGGACAGGATGTCCAGAGGTACGAAGGACAGGATGTCCAGAGGTACGAAGGACAGGATGTCCAGAGGTACGAAGGACAGGATGTCCAGAGGTACGAAGGACAGGATGTCCAGAGGTACGAAGGACAGGATGTCCAGAGGTACGAAGGACAGGATGTCCAGAGGTATGAAGGACAGGATGTCCAAAGGTACAGAGGGCAGGATGTCCAAAGGACAGGAGGATAGGATGTCCAAGGGTTAGAAGGACAGAATGTCCGAAGGACAGGATACCTGGAGGTATGAGGGACAGGAGGTCTGGAGGTCCAGAAGGAATAGGGGCTACATCAGACAAAGTCCAATGTAGAAACAAACAGAGGTAGACTACCCTAAGGTAGAGTTGGAGAGACAAGGATTGGACCTAAGTCCAGAAAGAGGGTAAGTGCCAGAAAGGCAGAGCTCCAGCCTAGGGAATCAATCCCTAGGCCTGATGGGTAGGACATATACTGAACAATATCTGAGGGGATCAGTAAGCAAAGGAGCAAGGCTATGTACAAGCACATGGAAACACATTAGTAAGTAAGTTGGAACATAAGTAAATGAACTCAGAGATGAGGACTTGTACAAGGATCAATAAGCAAGACGGAACAAGAGGTAACCAAAAGCCAGAAGGCAGAGAATGCCTAAATGGGGATAGGCGCAGGATATTGGACAGAGGGTGGGAATAGGTCCAGAGTTAATATCCAGAGATCTGGGGATCTGGAAGACAAGGTGGATACAGGACTGGAATATGAGAAGGTGGATATAGTCCAGAATCCAAGACGAGGTGAAGTCCGGATGTCTTGCTGGATGGAGTGCGCATAGGGTGGACAGGATAGGGTTGTACAGATCAGGCTAGCAGTGAGGATCCGGAGGTCCGGAGCTCAGGGGTAAATCTGGAGCATAGTTGATCCTGCTGAGGTGTGGAGTACACAGCGGAAGGGGATCTGGGAATGAGTTGGATATGAAGTGTGGTCCGGACGTAGGCTCAGAAGGCATGGGAATACCATGGAATGTGAGTCTGGATTGTGGGATATGACAGGATCTGAGATGAGATAAGGATCGGATCTGAGATCTGGATATGTGGATATGACATACAGGGGTTATATACTAGAGGCTATCCAAGAGGATCAGTAAGCACAGGAGTAAGGCTATGTATGAGCATGTGGAAACACAATAGTAAGTGAGATGGAACATAAGTAAATGAACTCAGAAATGAAACTAGTACAAGGATCAATCAGCAAGACAGAAACAGAGATAACCGAGAACTGGACAGGTGGAGATGCCTGAATGGGGATAGGAGCAGGATCTTGGATGGAGGGTGGGAATAGATCCGAAGATAGTAACAGTTAATATCCAGAGGTCCAGGGATCTGGGGATCTAGGAGGTAAGGCAGAAACAGGACTGAGATATGTGAGGTGGTGGTGGATGTAGTCCAGAATCCAAGAGGAGGTAAAGTTCAGATGGCTTGCTGGACAGAATGTGCATATGGTGGACAGGATAGGGGTGTATGGATCAGGCTCATAGTGAGGATCTGGAAGTCTGGAGCTCAGGGGTAATGTCATATCCACATATCCGGATCTCAGATCCGACCCTTATCTCAGATCCACATCTTATCTCCGATGCTATCCACATCTTATCCCCCTCCAACATCTTGTCATTCAATCTGTCCACTCATCCGGTCTGGTCCACAACTCATCCAAATCCACAACCAGTGCTTGTCTCTTTTCGGTTACCCCCTAACTCCGGTATTTTGGTTATCTGTATATCCGTCCTGCTCCCTTATCCGCTACCTATGTTTCATTTCCATTTCATGATTTGTGATCCATTTCTACTTACCAATAGACTATCCACATGCTTTGTACATAGCCTCGGACTCTGCTGATTGATCATTCTGTTAGATACCTATAGTATATAACCTCCTGTAACTTTCTGTAGTACCTCAGTTTGAATATCATCTTAGTTCTGCTCATTCCTGTCCTCCGGACTTGAGTACCTCTACTCTCGTCACCCTCCGAGACTTAGGATTGATTCCTATAGTCTATCTGTATCTGCCTCTGTCCCTGACAGTCCACTACCATTAGTTTCTAGTCTGGACTCATCCAGATTAGCCACACGATACTTATCCCTCATCCGGAAGTCATCCGGATCTGTTACACTACCTGTCCAACCTTCCGGACATGCTAGTCTTGCCTTCCTGAAATAAGGGGCAATACTCAGGTAAGGGGCACAGTGCATGAGCTGAGGCCAAAGCCCTTCAGATCCAGTTACCCTTTGAGTACGACCTTAACAGGTAAATCCATAGCAGAGCTAATCCTGCTGAGGTGTGGAGCACATGGTGGAAGGGGATCTGGGAATAAGTTGGATATGGGGTCCGGAAGTAGGCCCAGAAGGCGTGGGAATATTATGGGATCTAGGTCTGGCATATGGGATATGACAGAGCTAAGGCCAAGCCCCTCTGAGTCAGTCTCTTTCTCACTTGAGCATGGTTCTTAACAGGGGGTTAAATCATAAGAGCTGGGCCTCAGCGTATATGCTGTACCCCTTTCCTGAGTATGTGCCCTTAATTTCCAGGGGCTGAACAGTCATCCGGAGTTTCCAGGTTTTGACTAGGGCAGACAACAGACATCCAGGTATGAAACATGAGATACATCTGGTAGACATCTGGATGTTGATTGGACAAGCAGATAAGGCTAATCTGGACGAAGTCCAGACTAGAAACTGACAGAGGATAGACTACCCTAAGGTAGAGCCAGAGATATAGTCTAGGATACAGTCCTAAGACTTGGATGATAACAAGAGACTTAACTCAAGTCCAAAGGACACAGGAATGAGCAGGAACTAAGATGATATTCAAACTGAGGTATTTCTGAGAGTTACAGGAGGTTTATATACTGTAGGTATCATATAGGAATCAGTCAGCAAACACAGAGGCTATGTATGAAGCATATGCAAAGTCTATTAGTAAGTAGGATGGATCACCAATAATGAATACCAGAGATGAAATGTATGTAACTGATCAGTAATCAGAAGGGAAACATAGTTAACTGGAGTCTGGAGACAGGGGACGTCTAAATGGGGTTGGGTGCTGATATAAGGTTTGGATTCTGGAAGGGAGATGAAGATAGATCAGATCATTGTAGATCTGGATGTTGGATCTGGATATCCAGAGAAGTGGATTTAGAGTTGGGAGTCTGGAATGGCATATGACACATCAGCTAAGTTTGGGCGATGCAGTGTGGTATGTAGAGATAGTGGTTATGATTACCTAATATATGTTTGGGGCAAATTCTGAATGTTCTGTTCATTCATTCCTCTGCTTCCAAATTCAAACATAGTCCTCTTGGGTCAAATAACACCCCTTTGGATAAGTAGTGTTAGAGCAGCTCAGTGAGGAGACTTCAGGAGTTGATAATTGTGTGCTTGACCTTACATATCTGAGTAGTGATGTTGAGCCAGGGTTTTCATTTGCCAATAGGCTTTAGCTATTGAAAGGGGACTTAGTGCTGAACACCAAGATTGTCCATTCCTGACTCTGTTTAATATTTATCATGAGTTCCTTGGCAGCAGGTTCAATAGTATATAAAGCTCTCTACAGCATTGACTAGTCCTGACCTTTGATCCTACCTGCTTGTGCTTTGGGAGTGACCTCTATAGCTTCACATATCTTACTGGTGTTATTTGTGTTGCAAGACAGGATTCTCTTTCTTTGTATTTGTCATCTTTGAAGTCCATACACTGTTGGACTGACTGCTTACTGCTGATCTCACACAACACCTTCTGCTGAATGTAGCTTAGGTACCACTGAACAGCCACCCATGAATGACCACATTATCAGTCATTGGTATTTGTCTGAATCACTGACTGTGGAGATATTTGGTTTTATAGGTGTGTATCTATAGATCATCTATCTAAGAAGACACTATGACTTTACTCCTATCATTGAAACCTTCAGCAGTTTCTCTCAGCACCATACTAGTCAGCGTACTACCACTGCAAGCATCTCTGGACCTCTCTGAAGACCATAAGCCCAGTGAAAATCAACAATTTAGAGGCAGATATACATAGATACAAATTGAAAAAATATAAGCCCTATGAAATTTATCAATCCATTTTGAGGTCTTTTGCCAGAATGTCACTTTTTGAGATGAAATAATATAGACATCAAGACAAGTTTTTTGCGTTTAGATAAGATTTTCAATGGCTTTAGATTTTTAGATACACATTTACATATAGGCTATCTACTATGGGTATCGCCATCATTCAGTGTAGTATCACTGCTCACTATGCCTCGCCCACCTGCCATCCTGCCATCCACTACTCCTTGTCTGCACCCACATCATTGCCAGTAGTACTGACTCCACTGGCAGCTGATTTGAGCTATAGAACAGGGCCATTAGTGTAGTACAATGAAATAGAATATAGTGGGTAGTGCTCACCTGAACAGCTGCCTTGCACTTGTATATCTACAATAGTACATAAATGGTATTAGATAGATATCAATATAACAAAAGAAGACACACCTCTTTGTCAGCTTTACATAGCCCATTCCAGTAAGATGCAAAAATGGTTGCTGGTTCCTTTTGATGGCCGTTTGATTGCCAGTTGAGAGCACACAGGTTTCTGTTTGATATGGATCATAGAATCAGTTTTGATTGGTCTGGTAATGATAGAATATCTTACCGCACAGTGATCTTTGGGCTCACCCACATTGGCTTGGTGCTTGGCTGGTGCTTCTTGATGCTATTAGGCTTCAAGTCACTGACCACGATCATGGTCTTCATTTGTTCAGTGTGAGTTGTTCCAACTAGTTCCACTGTCACAGCTAGTGAAACTGCATTGGTGTTCAATTGGACCTCTGGCACAGAGACTGGTGTGTTCTCATTGCAGGGTGGTATCATAGCAGAGTGGGATTCAGAAGGCAGAGAATTGATAGAAGTCAGAAGAAGTTGCTGTGGAATAGGTCTGGGCCAAGGTTTGAAAACAAGATTAGAACTATGTTAAATGATAGCATTGGTGTATTGCAACCATACAATTAAATGATGAAATGAACTTACAAAGGGTTTTTAACCTATAAAATCAGACATGTGGATTTAGCATCAGCACAAAATGTACCATGAACAACTCACCTCCATGGTAATAACTTCCTTTGCTTTGCCCTTGTCCATTCATGGTGGTGGGGTTGGCTCATGGTCAGGTGCAGTGCTATTGTGTGGTGGCAAAGGGAGTGTTGTTAACTGTTGACTGTTAAGAACCATGTTGCTCAAGGGGGAGAGAGACTGACTCAGAGGGGCTTGGCCTCAGCTTGTATGCTGTGCCCCTTACCCAAGTATGTGCCATTCATTTCATATGAGGTCTGATGATGGTCTGACGAAGTCTGGAGGACTTCCAGAGGCTGGCTACTCTGGTGGAGTGCTAGAGGACTTCCAGAGGAGTGCAGGAAACATTCGGAGGAGTGCGGGAGAGTTTTGGAGGAACACAGGAAGTGTTCAGGAGAGTTCCCACTGCAAGGTAATACTTCTACAGGAAACAAGATGGAAGGATAGGAGGTCCAGAGGTCCGGAAGTATGGAGGACAGGAGGACAAGATGATGGAGGTATGAAGGACAGGATGTCTGAGGGTTAGGAGGACGGGATGTCTGGAGGTATGAAGGACAGGGTGTACAAAGGACAGGAGGATAGGATGTCTGAGGGTTAGGAGGACGGAATGTCCGAAGGACAGGATGCCTGGAGGTATGAGGGACAGGAGGTCCAGAGGTCCAGAAGGAATAGGGGCTACATCAGACGAAGTCCAATGTAGAAACAAACAGAGGTAGACTACCCTAAGGTAGAGTTGGAGAGACAGGGATTGGACCTAAGTCCAGAAAGAGGGTAAGTGCCAGAAAGGCGGAGCTCCAGCCTAGGGAATCGATCCCTAGGCCTGATGGGTAGGACAGAGCTTAGGTGGACCAAAGTCTGAGAGAGGATTGGGCAAGTCTAAGTTGATATTCAAACTAAGGAACTACAGGAGTATCTACAGGGGTTATATACTGAACAGTATCTGAGGGGATCAGTAAGCAAAGGAGCAAGGCTATGTATGAGCATGTGGAAACACATTAGTAAGTAAGATGGAACATAAGTAAATGAACTCAGAGATGAAGACTCCGTACAAGGATCAATAAGCAAGATGGAACAAGAGGTAACCAAAAGCTGGAAGGCAGAGAATGCCTAAATGGGGATAGGCACAGGATATCAGACAGAGGGTGGGAATAGGTATGGAGATCTGGGGATCTGGAAGACAAGGTGGATACAGGACCAGGATATGAGAAGGTGGATAGAGTCCAGAATCCAAGACAAAGTGAAGTCTGAATGTCTTGCTGGATGGAGTGTACATAGGGTGGATGGGACAGGGGGTTATGGTTCAGGCTAGCAGTGGAGATCTGATGGTCCAAAGCTCAGGGGTAAATCTGGAGTGCAGTTGATCCTGCTGAGGTGTGGAGCACACAGTGGAAGGGGATCTGGGAATGAGTTGGATACGATGTGTGGTCCGGACGTAGGCTCAGAAGGCGTGGGAATATGATGGAACGTGGGTCTGGATTGTGGGATATGACAGGAATCATATGTATTGATACTAGATAAAGTTGTTAGATCTCAAACTGAAAACATGGGTCTGGCTCCCCTGGTATCAGCTTCATAACCATTGAGATCTGGATCTGAGGATATGTCCAGAAAATCCTGGATGGCTGGTGGTAGCATCATGGTGTCCAGTAGTATCAGTAACATGCGGACTTGGTGAAAGGTATCAACATATCTTGTACTTACCTCCAGAACAAGGATGGCATACCTCTCTCAGCTCAGCATGCCAAGGTAATTCAGACAACAATGTTGTCATGCTTCTGTCAGCTACATAACCAAGGACTGGCACTGGAATTGATCAGACAAGCTTCACTTGGCGTCATCAAGTGGCTGGTTCACATGTTGTGGAAGGAATACTTTAAACTTCATCTTTGTGCCAACAATTGGAAAACCACCAAGCTTATGACTGACAATTACTCCCAATAGTACAACTACCACATCAAGAAAAAGGGCAGCAAGCATGTGAAGACTGAATCCGAAGACATGTGTTTTGAAGAAGAGAGCACCTCTGAGATGACACCAATCATTACAAAAAGAAGTTCACCTGATCCTGACAAGAATCATATGACAAAGTGACCACACATTGATTCCAATATGTCATCCTCCTCATCATTGGATGAAATCACAAGTTTTCTTTTATGTTTGTATTACTACTAACATAATAGGTCTATACTAGCCACTAGTATCACCCCCTTCAGCATGAAAAGAAGTCATAAGTTCTAATATTTTAGTTGCTTACTACTGACATAGTCGGTCAATGTCATATCTCACAATCCAGACCCACGTTCCATCATATTCCCACGCCTTCTGAGCCTACGTCCGGACCACACTTTATATCCAACTCATTCCCAGATCCCCTTCCACCATGTGCTCCACACCTCAGCAGGATCAACTATGCTCCAGATTTACCCCTGAGCTCTGGACCATCAGATCCTTACTGCTAGCCTGATCCAAACAACCCTATCCTGTCCACCCTATGCACACTCCATCCAGCAAGACATCTGGACTTCACCTCATCTCAGATTCTGGACTATATCTACCTTCTCGTATTCCGGTCCTGTATCCACCTTGTCTTCTGGATCCCCAGATCTCCATACCTATTCCCACCCTCTGTCTGATATCCTGTGCCTATCCCCATTTAGGCATTCTCTGCCTTCCAGCTTTTGGTTACCTCTTGTTCCATCTTGCTTATTGATCCTTGTACGGAGTCTTCATCTCTGAGTTCATTTACTTATGTTCCATCTTACTTACTAATGTGTTTCCACATGCTCATACATAGCCTTGCTCCTTTGCTTACTGATCCCCTCAGATACTGTTCAGTATATAACCCCTGTAGATACTCCTGTAGTTCCTTAGTTTGAATATCAACTTAGACTTGCCCAATCCTCTCTCAGACTTTGGTCCACCTAAGTCTGTCCTACCCATCAGGCCTAGGGATCGATTCCCTAGGCCAGAGCTCCACCTTTCTGGCACTTACCCTCTTTCTGGACTTAGGTCCAATCCCTGTCTCTCCAACTCTACCTTAGGGTAATCTACCTCTGTTTGTTTCTACATTGGACTTCGTCTGATGTAGCCCCTATTCCTTCCAGACCTCTGGATGTCCTGTCCTTCGGATGTTCCGCCCTCCGTACCTTCAGACGTTCTGTCCTCCTAACCCTCGGACATCCTATCCTCCTGTCCTTCAGACATCCTGCCCTCTGTACCTTTGGACATCCTGTCCTTCGTACCTCTGGACATCCTGTCCTTCGTACCTCTGGACATCCTGTCCTTCGTACCTCTGGACATCCTGTCCTTCGTACCTCTGGACATCCTGTCCTTCGTACCTCTGGACATCCTGTCCCTCTGTCCTCCGTCATCCTGCCCTCCTGTCCTCCTGTCCTCCTGTCCTCTGGACCTTCAGACCTCCTATCCCTCCATCCTGTTTCCTGTAGAAGTATTACCTTGCAGTGGGAACTCTCCTGAGCACTTCCTGTGTTCCTCCGGAACTCTCCCACGCTCCTCCAGACGTTTCCCGCGCTCCTCTGGAAGTCCTCTAGTGCTCTCCAGCAGAGTAGCCAGTCTCTGGAAATCCTCCGGACTTCGTCAGACCATCATTGGACCTCATACGAAATGAAGGGCACATACTTGGGTAAGGGGCACAGCGTACAAGCTGAGGCCAAGCCCCTCTGAGTCAGTCTCTCTCTCCTTTGAGCAACATGGTTCTTAATACTATGTGACCAATGACCAGATCAGGTACCTTCATAGTAGTATGGCATCTGATTTGATTTGAGAAGGCATTTTGGGGAAAGTACCTGGAATGTTAGAAGCACTCGTGGCAGGCACAAAGGGTCTTCACAACTTCATGGAGAGTGAATGAAACAACTCAAAGCAACAGTACAAACTGTTGATTCCAAGAAGTACTGGATGTTGAGGACTGCAAATGGAAGTGAGTGGAATGATTCTAAGTGACAGTCCAAATGATTGTCTTGCAGAATGTCAGATGGTTAAGATTTTACAGATAGTCAGTAGTCATGAGTCAGGAGGTAATCATACAAACTGTTTCCCCAAGTGCAATTGTGTTATTCAACAAGGGTAATAATGATCAAGGAGATAACATCAGTCTGACAATACAGTTGTAGAGCACAATGTACATGGCAAAAACACATGAGAGAATATGTACAACTACACATCTGAGTCTGTCCAAACTAAGCAAGACATCAGAAGTATGAAGGAGGTTGGTTAAGGAAGTACTCTTACTAGGTGCCTTGTTTAACCTGTTAATTCATGACAGGTCTGCAGAACATGGGGTGAGATGGGACAAGTGGATACCACAGGCATGTCTCTCATATGCCCATAGGATAGTTAACATTGTCATGTCACCCTCTTCATCTGGGCAGGACTGATTAGAATTGTTGCAAGAAGTGAGCATGTTGTCAGAGAGGTGAACACTTTCGGAGTCATGTACAAACATCAAGCCTTTAGACATGTCCCTATGCCTTCATATTGTACTTGGGTGCTGGCTTGCTATTGTCCAATTACTTGAAAATGCATAAACATTCAGACACTTTTTTGGGCCACTGTGTGCAGACATGTAATAAGGCTGCAACACATGTTGCAAAACACAAGGCATGGCAAAATATGTACCAATGAGGTAGGATGGACAATGGATGGATTCCAACAGTCCAAAAGCAGGTCCTAGAGCGCAAAAACCAATGCACTATGAGTGTGCTAAGTGTGAGAAAAAGTGTTAGATAGAGCAGACATGTGAAAGTGCACTTGAACACAATGTTGGGTGAATCTGATAGCACTCTAAGTGTGGTAAAGTGCAGGATGAGGTGCAGGAACATGAATAGCACTGCAGGAGTGTGCACACATGGCACAGGAAAGTGTGGACTAGTGTCAGACAAGCATTATAACTGCAACGAGTGAGGACCATGTATAGGAAATTCTACCTATCTGAGGTAATATGGAAAATGCAGTCATATGAGCCCAGCACTAATATGATTGTTGCACCAGTCCAATAGACCCTCAAAGAAACCATGTTTCCCTTTTGATTATTGATCTGTTACATACAT